AATTAGCTAACTTGGAGAGAGAGAGCGTACAATAGTGCGCGGGCAGGATAAATACCTTATATTATACTGTTGATCCGTTAACAGCAAATAAAGTCCCACAGTTCGGAGTTAAATAGGTGAATTGATATTGTCCAGTTTTAGTCGTTGAGGAGGAGGTGTTGGGTTTCGACAGGAACAGTCTCTCGAAGACGAACTTGGCGCGGTACACACACACAATCAAATAATAACTTCCACAATCTTACTCATCGTGCCTGTCCCTTTTATACGAAGTTCTCTGTTCGGGCCTTTCCCTGATTTCTTCAGGGATGACGATCTCCTTGGACCAATGAGGTGACGGGTGACACAATCGTGACACAGAGATATACTCATCTCAACAAGGAACCTAACTTGTGGGAATCGAGGTTTAACCAAATTTTATGTTTCCCTTATCTCTTTTAATTTTCTTTATAACTCGTTCCATCTTCATAGAGTTGCATCCCAAGTTTAATTAAAAGTTTATAAAAAAATTTAAAGTTTATAACACTAAATTTCTGACTCTCACATCTACAACCCAAATTAATAAATCTGCTTTAGTTGTTAATCTAAACAAATAGAATGATTCTGTTCAAATGCATTCAAAATTAAAAAAATAAATAAATTTAACTTCTTTAAATATAAACTTCTTTTAGGATGGTGTAAACATCATTATGTGTGGCAAACAGCTAATGCAGTGGTTTAAAGATCCTTTGTAATAAAAATGCAGATACTTTGAGATGTAAGTCTAGAGAAAAAGTTTATATCTTACACCCAACTTGGGAGGTGGTCCAATTTAAATATCTAGAAAAACTAGAAATATACAAGCAACTAAAAGATCAAAAGCTACCAATTACAAAGACATAGAGATAACGTTTATGGCATAGAAGTGCTTTTTCAATATACAGTAAGGAGGTTGCACCTCCTTAAAATAATGCTCCATTTTTTAGAAAAATTACGATCTAATTATGTTCTCCTATTAAATTTATTCAATTTAAAATCTGAGAATGACTAATTAACCTCCGCATTCACCATCACGAGTTAGAGTTAGAGTTAGGGTTAAATCTCCAGTTATTGGCAAGTTGGTGAATACCAACTGGAGAAGTTGGTATTCACCAACTCCGAATCTCGAGTCAAACACTAAACTCTAACTCTAGAAAATCTCTAGAGTCAGAAATGGAAAAGGAAGGGAGTTGGGTGTGCTTGTGTAAATCAAAACAAGCTGTCTCTCATCATGAATCAACAGAGAATTTACAAGATTGTATCAAACAGGCTTGAAAGAGCTGTTTTATCCTCAACAAGGAGGTGTCTACACCATTTATCCAATTGCCATTAAACTTTGGGAAGTTGTTTAATATACTCCCGTGAAGGTTTCTGGCATAGTATGATTGCCATGAAACCATGCCATTGGGAAGCTGTTTAATACACTCCCACGAAGGTTTCTGGCATAGTACATTTATCCTACAATAGATGGCACGCGTGTATATGAGCATTTCAGCACGGTTAGGAGTTGAAACTTGAAATTTGGTACACAGTTAGGGTACATCACGAGAACGCACACTAACAAGGAATTTTTTAAGATCCTCCCGCGAGGAAAGGGACAGGATTAAGGCTTCAACAATGGAAGTGTTAAGAGAAAGCAACGTGCAAGATTTACAGGTACAGATGCGGATTTTTGCATTAAATCAAACTTAATTTTAGACCCATCTAAAAATTTTCTAATTAGTCTGGAAACAGGGGAACCTAATTCTTGCATTCTGTGAAAATGGGTAAAATTGGCTGTAATGTAATAATCTTAATCTTCGCTATCGTTACTTTTTGTCCAAGCAACGCCGGGCTTATCTGCTAGTATCAGATAAAAATTTTCAATCTCAATAATTATTCGGTGATTCAGTGATTATATCTCTGATTTATATTTTCATCATACATACTTTTATGTAATAAAAACTTATTATCTAAAAACTACTGGATATTTAAAATTTATAATAATTTTTAAAACAATTAAATAAAAACACCATGTAATTTCCAACAAGAAATTGAATAGTCAGTGGAATCATCCTTGGCATTCCAAACACCATTGTCAAGCTTCTAGGCTTATAGGAAAGCGGTGCTGAACGTCTGACGTACATGTTTTTGCGTTTAAAACTTCAGCCTCAACCTCGCTATTAAAACAAAAATGTTTATGTGACCATTGGGTCGGTATCTCTTTGATACCACGTCAGGATGGCACCACTGTGTCCTTAGGTCGATACAGAGACCACAAGTTCGCGTGAGCGGTTACGTACAAGGTTTGGACCCAAAATGGAGTGAACGGAGAGAAGAACGGAAGAAACTGCACTCAAAGTTGCTTTAAACATAAATAACCGTTTATTTATATGAAATCTAAGCTAGTTATACATCAGAATTTAAGGTTACAAGTTAATATTGGCTAAATATAAGTTACAATCGAGTTTGCAATTAGCTAACTTGGAGAGAGAGAGCGTACAATAGTGCGCGGGCAGGATAAATACCTTATATTATACTGTTGATCCGTTAACAGCAAATAAAGTCCCACAGTTCGGAGTTAAATAGGTGAATTGATATTGTCCAGTTTTAGTCGTTGAGGAGGAGGTGTTGGGTTTCGACAGGAACAGTCTCTCGAAGACGAACTTGGCGCGGTACACACACACAATCAAATAATAACTTCCACAATCTTACTCATCGTGCCTGTCCCTTTTATACGAAGTTCTCTGTTCGGGCCTTTCCCTGATTTCTTCAGGGATGACGATCTCCTTGGACCAATGAGGTGACGGGTGACACAATCGTGACACAGAGATATACTCATCTCAACAAGGAACCTAACTTGTGGGAATCGAGGTTTAACCAAATTTTATGTTTCCCTTATCTCTTTTAATTTTCTTTATAACTCGTTCCATCTTCATAGAGTTGCATCCCAAGTTTAATTAAAAGTTTATAAAAAAATTTAAAGTTTATAACACTAAATTTCTGACTCTCACATCTACAACCCAAATTAATAAATCTGCTTTAGTTGTTAATCTAAACAAATAGAATGATTCTGTTCAAATGCATTCAAAATTAAAAAAATAAATAAATTTAACTTCTTTAAATATAAACTTCTTTTAGGATGGTGTAAACATCATTATGTGTGGCAAACAGCTAATGCAGTGGTTTAAAGATCCTTTGTAATAAAAATGCAGATACTTTGAGATGTAAGTCTAGAGAAAAAGTTTATATCTTACACCCAACTTGGGAGGTGGTCCAATTTAAATATCTAGAAAAACTAGAAATATACAAGCAACTAAAAGATCAAAAGCTACCAATTACAAAGACATAGAGATAACGTTTATGGCATAGAAGTGCTTTTTCAATATACAGTAAGGAGGTTGCACCTCCTTAAAATAATGCTCCATTTTTTAGAAAAATTACGATCTAATTATGTTCTCCTATTAAATTTATTCAATTTAAAATCTGAGAATGACTAATTAACCTCCGCATTCACCATCACGAGTTAGAGTTAGAGTTAGGGTTAAATCTCCAGTTATTGGCAAGTTGGTGAATACCAACTGGAGAAGTTGGTATTCACCAACTCCGAATCTCGAGTCAAACACTAAACTCTAACTCTAGAAAATCTCTAGAGTCAGAAATGGAAAAGGAAGGGAGTTGGGTGTGCTTGTGTAAATCAAAACAAGCTGTCTCTCATCATGAATCAACAGAGAATTTACAAGATTGTATCAAACAGGCTTGAAAGAGCTGTTTTATCCTCAACAAGGGAGGTGTCAAGTTTTCATACATTGGAGCATGTAGTCTGGAAAGTGATGGTTGACGTTCGTTGAACAAGTTGAGACCAGCATGCCAATCAGGGCGGACCTGATAAAAAGCTCAGCTCAGCTCAACTTCTGATTGGTCGGCCAATGGATTTAAAACTTGTATATAAGGTGACATTGGAACAGAACTACTAGGACGGGCGGGGCGGGAAGCCCTTCTGGAGCTTATGAATACGATATGGAACACTGGTCATCTTCCGGCGGAGTGGCGGTCGGCATATATTCTTCCGATCCTAAAACCGGGGAGACAGGCGACTTCATGCGCGGTATACAGGCCGATCTCGCTTACATCAAACGTGGCTAAAATCTTTGAACGAATGCTATTACAGAGGCTACAGAGGGCCTTGTTGGAATCCAATACGTTTCATGAAAATCACTTTGGTTTTCTACCTTATCGAGGGGCGGAAGATGCGGTAATTCTTATCCACCACACTATTTCGGTGGCCCGCGCCCAAAAGAAGTGGGTGTATTTGGTATCACTCGACCTGGAGGGTGCGTACGACACGGTCCATCAGAACGGATTAATTGCCAAGCTAGTCCACTACGGGTTGTCAGGGAAACCGCTTCAGTGGTTGTGTGATTTCATAGTGAATAGAGAGTTTAGGGTCAAGTGGAGGGGTGTGCTCTCGGGCCCACATAAGTTTAACTCCGGAGTACCGCAGGGGAGCGTGTTGGCCCCGCTTCTTTTTTCCCTGTACATGGCTGACCTCTGGCAGGTGATCCCAACGGATGTGGTGAGCGTTCTGTACGCCGACGATCTTTACGTTATAGGAACGAGTACACAGGCGGATATGGCTAGGTTTCGGATCCAGAGGGCGCTGGATCATATTGAGCACTGGTCGGCCCAGTGGAGCATGGTATTCTCTGCGCCGAAGAGCGGTGTCATCGATTTTTCACCAAAGCAACACAGACCGACTGTACCCCTACGGTTAGGGTCGGGAACGATTCCTCAGGTCACGTCAATGCGAATTCTAGGGGTGTTTCTTAATGAGACGTTCACATGGAGGGAGCACGAAAGTTTCCTTCGTAATAAATTAACAAGAGCGAGTTCGTACCTCCGTTATTTTGCTTCTCGGCGGAATGGCGCGCGTCAGAGAAACCTACTTCAGTTGATCAATACGGTTCTCCTCCCGATGGCGGAATACGAGGCACCTCTCCTGGACGGAGCACCACCGTCGGTCATCAACCGGATCGAAAAGCCTATCCACATGGCCCTTAGGGCGGCTCTCGGGGTGCCACTAACTACTTCGCTGCTAGCAATGTATACGGAAGCGAACTACATTGGTTTAAAAGCACGTCTTACCTTACGGACGATCAGACATATGGTCACGCACATATCGAGGGGCCGTTTTAGCTCGCTCTACCGTATTTATTCGCAAAGGCATGGTCTGGACCACTATAGATGGCGAAGATACCAGGAACCTTACGTGTTCAGGGCGGTCTCTCATTTACGGAATCTCGGGATAGCGATTCCGAACATTTATCGTCAACAGAATCTGCCGCCGACTGTCGAGCAGATGGGCTCGCGGATAAATATTGATGTGTTTAGGACTGGGAGTATTCGTTTACCTGGCGAGGACAGGGTGGCATTTGATGAGTGGATGCGCAAATACCGCGATGGGTGGGCTTTAATCGGGACAGATGGGTCGAAGTCACCCAATCGGACGTCGATGGGCGTCTTCATATCAGAGGGGCGGAGGAGTGAGTCGTGGGAATTGGACGCTCAGTGTGGAGTTTTCGGGGCGGAAGCTGCTGGTGTTTTGCGGGGGTTGGCTTTGTGTTCCCAAAATCCTTGTCCGACCATTATATGTACAGACAGTCGTTCAGTGCTAGAGGCGTTGGCTAACGTGGGGTATACTTCGGATGCGATCATCATCGATATTGCGGCGGCAGTCTCGTCCTTTCCTCAGCCTATTGTGATGTTATGGACTCCGGGGCACGTCGGTATTGCACCCAACGAAGACGCGGATAAGGCAGCGAAGGGAGCGAATTTAACCGGTTCCTGGAGGGGCCCGCTGTTGCCTAAGGACATTCATCGGTCGGTATGGCAAGACACACGTAATTTGTTACGGGACCGCTGGGCTGCGGTCCATAGGAACAGGGGTAGGGAGTATCTCCGTCCTTTTCACCCGTGGCCTTATCACCACGCTTCATCGCGGCAAGCGGAAACACTCCTGGCGAAACTACGGACTGGTACGGCCCCACTCAATGACTTTCTTTATTCGCGTGGTATTGTCCCGTCCCCTAACTGTTTGTTCTGTGGGGAGGCAGAAACTACTGAACATTTCTGGCTAAGGTGTCCAGAGTATACTACGAGTCGCATGGACCTACTGAAACACTTACGACTGAATTTACAGACTGTGCGTACATTGTCTCCTCTGTATTGGCCACAGGCCGACATGTCCTCGAGGTATCATGTCTACCTTCTAGAACAGTATATTCATCGATCGGGTCGCTTTAACAACTAAGGTGGCGCTGCACGTCGGAGAAAAAGCGAATAGGCTGCAATCTCCATATAAACGAGAGAGAGAGAG